AATTTGTGACTGAGACTGGGGTCAGGAAAAAGCCCTGGCCAAAATTCAGAACTGGATAAGGTTATGAGTCATTTAAGCCAACCCCTCTTTCTATAGGTGAGGAAATTGGTCCCAAATTGGCTAACAGACTTTTCAAGGACACCTAAGTGGAGACATAAGGTCCATCTGCCCCCACCTGTTTCTCTGTGGTGGCCTCCAATGAGGACTGCAGCTGAGGCCAGGAGCTTGGAGAGCTTCATAAAGGACCTAATTCCAGGTGAGTGCTCTGGAAAAGTCATCCAAGAGAGCACAGAAAGGGCCCAGGATGATAGACAATCATGTAAGCTAGCCCTTCTCTTCCTTAGCCAAACAGACATGTACCTGTTGCCAATGATGCTTGGCAATCAGAGCTTCTGCTGATACTAGGGTTCCCTTCTTGGTGAGCAAGTGTAGTTGCCACAGATATTTATAAGTGTTTGAATTTCTGTGGGTTTCGACGGGAAACATTCAGCTCTGGCCTTTTGATTATCTAAACCTGAGCTCTCCAACACGGTAGCTGGAGCACATGTGGCAACTTAATGTAAATTAATAAAATTAAATACAACCTATAATTCAGTGACTCACATTAGCCACATTTCTAACGCCCGATAGCCATGTAAAACAGCACAGAGACCAGCATCCTTGCAGAAAGCTGGACTGGAGAGGGCTGCTCTAAAGGCAAGGGTCGACTGGGCTTTTTGGTGCACTGATGCTTCAAAAGTATAAAAATTAGAGTAGCAGAGAGAGATCTGCTTCATGCTAAAGCCAAGCAGAGTAGAGGGAGTAATATAGCTTCTTTAGTTTCCTTTGCCAAGGATTCCAGGGAGGTTGGAATGAATTTTGCACATTTTGCTACTGCTTTTTTTTTTTTTCATTCATAAGGGTCCCTCCTACCAGATCTGTGTCTGAAGAAGAGATGAGACACACGCACAGTTTGGAGCGAAGGAGACTTCAATACTTCATGAAAATCTATGAGGATTCTGGGAACCCACCAAAGGTAATATCAAATGCAAATTACTAGGCAGTATTCAAGTACGCTGAAAAAAACAAAAATGTTGATTGTTTAAAAGATGAGTGGAAAAAAAAAAACCTTATTGACCAGAAAGCTGGACTTTCACATCAAACAAAAGAGAGAATAAAAGATGAGGATCTATTACATTTTAACTGAAGCTTTGCCTCTGAGACAGATGTAGCTAAACATTAACTAGGGCAGTGTGGTAAAGTACAGATTAAGATGCAATTATGCCTCATGTCTTCCTCTTTCAGGGTGAGAGCTTGTTGATGTCAGGGCACAGATAAGGGGACGCACCATGTGACGGGTGGTATCTATGTGGAAGCATGAAATTTCTGGAGCTTTTAGATCTCGTGTTCCCAGGAGGCAAGACCTACATGTCTGCCTCGCTTGCACACCTCCTGCATAGCCATGCGTCCGTGAGCATTAATAAGTATAACGTGACGAACACAGATGGAAAACCATACCTGAAACAAACCTTAGTGACAACCAGTGGTTGAGTGGGTTGGTGAAAGGACCGCATCCAACTGCATAAACCCATTGGCTGGCACTGCGAGCATGTCCCAGCAAACCTCCCGCCCCCATAGGGTGAGGTTTTTGGCTCTCTGCTGTTGCTGCTAAAGGTCACGGGATAAAGCTGGGAATCCCACCACCCTGGCATTTTAAGGAACATATTCGTGGTGGTTTTTTCCAGGAACCTAAAACATCTGTCCCCTATCTGAAAAGTGCCCAGAGAGAAAATACAAAGGAATACTTGGTCAGGTGTCCTTCAAGGAAAGAGCATATACTGAAGGCTGTGTGTAAATATGACACATCAAAACAGAAGTTCTCAACTACTGGCCTGTTGGGACTTCGCATCAGAATCACCTAAAATGTGTGTTAAAAGTACAGACTCTCAGACACTACTCCAGACCCAAGAAATCTGATCCGCAGGAGGATGGTACCCTAGGATCTGAATTTTTAACACTCGCCCTAGGTGATTCTGATGCAACCTTGGGTCTGGGACTGTCTAGCTGGGAACACCCAACTTTCCACTGGGGTGTGGCTTGGTAACAGCTTTCTCTTAGCATAGTTTACAAATCTATTTTATGTTTCCTCACATCCCTTCCCATCAAAGGAATGGAATGTAGCATGGGATTATCTATTATTATTTCACAATTAAGGATAATGACAAGAAACATCCTAGGTGAGTCAGTGCTATGGCCAGGAATCTCAGCTTCACTAGTTACCTGCTTTCTAGTCAGTTCAGTGTTTTTGTTCACAAACCCGTTGTCTCCACCACTGGCCTTTTACTAGACAGATTTTCCTACAGGTCAAGGATGTGGACTCACAAAATACAGAAGAGTGGCGTCTGGCTCCTCACACTGCACCTCTGGTCGAAACCAAGCCAATTGCAGCCAAATCCCGGAGATTCCAGTCTAGACGAAAGCAAGGCCGACAGGTCTGAGCCAGCCCCAGTCTGGAGAATTTCCCTAAAGATTCGTTTTCCATGTGGCACCTGTGGGATTTGTGTTCAGTTCCCAAGAGTCCTTGGAAGCTCTAGGTTAAAACAATTCTAAGTCCTCCTTGGCCTGGTGGGGTCTTGTTCTGAGTGGGCTGGTGGAAATCTGGCCTCACTCGGAATCTTCCCTGGTCTGATAAAGCACTTTGAGCTCCTGGAAGTAGAAGTAGCACTGGAAGGGTGATGGCAAGTGGTGTTACCATTATTTATTGAGTGCTGCCCCCTAGAGGATTAAAAATGGTCCGGCCACTTGGAGTCCCCAGGGCTCTGAATCGAAAACTCACCCCTCTCTCTCCCGCCACCAACTGCAGGAAATGAGGCCTTCACTCAAGGGGATTGCTGAGCAGTCTTGTAGCAGTGGTCCAGAGAACTCCCAGAGTTAAGTTAGCACCCCCTTTAGGACACATCTGGGAAATAGAATTCCATAATGCTGGCAACCAGGTTCAGGAACAGAACACAGAAACAGATCCTGACTTCTCCCTAAGGGACCAAGGACTTTGTAAGTTGCCTGGTGGGGATCCTCAACCCTGACACCCCAAGACCAGAAGTCCAGCGTTGTTGTTCTTATGGTTCCCAGTGGGCTTCAGTTTACTTAGAAAAAGAAGAGAAATCTCTTCCCTCTTCACGGTGCCCTTCACCTAAGCTCTGGCTGTTGTGTTCCCAGAAACAGGATTCTCCCATGTCGGGCACTTACTAGAATGGTTTGGCATGTCTGGGAGTTGTGGGGGGAGGTGATACTAAATGAGCCTCTGTTCAGGGACTGTCACTACAGATAGTGTTATTTGTCCTTAGATTAGCATCTTGGCAATGATATAAACTGGAATCTCTGCTTAAGGTTCAAAATCCAGACTGCCTCTTTACTTCATTAAATATTTGAGGCTGCGAGTCATTTTTTACAACTGAACTTAAAACAGGAAAAATATAAATCTGGAGTTTTTAATAATGTGCTCTTCAGCGAAGGAAGGAAGGAAAGAGTGAGGGAAGGGAGGGACAGGAATGAAAGGTAGCCTTTGGGGGTGGGGGGAGATGTGCCTCCTGGAAGAACTCAGGCCTCAGTTAAGTCCCTTTCCAACCAGGCACCTAAGATTAACACTGTGATACTCAGCCTGTGGATTTACCCTGTAAAATCCCTCCATGGCTTGGCTCAACTATTTGCAAATCACTTCTGATTCAATTCTGTTTGGGTTATCTCAGTGTAAATAACAGTTAAGTGGGAGCTACAGATTTTTCAAACACTAAAAGTGATAAACAAAGCTAATGGCAAGTCCAGATAAGGAGGGAAACCACCCAGAAGAATCCACAAGTACAAGCCAAGAAGAAAACGGAATAGTTACGTGTGTGTTTCTTGTCACTGAAACTTTTTCTTGATGTACAGAAGATTTTATTTTCTTAATTTTTAAAAATCTTAATCTGAAAAAAATATTCTTAATTTTCTTATTTTTTATATACCTTTTCTGTGGCCGAAAGGGCGTTATTTGGGCTGTTTCTGTTACAGTCTTTATGATAATGCGGTAGTAAGTGCCCTGTGTAGCAAGACAGTTTGGAATCCACAAAGCCATCCTCTGAAACAAAGATACAAGTGTTTCCGCAACTGTTAGCTTGCAGCTCCCTCTAAACAGTTTTCACGCCTTCATTTAAAAATAGTTGGCATAATGCTGTTTCCTTTCTCTCGGCGTTGTGACCACATTGCCATGGGGGCAAATGTGAATAGAAGTAGTTACAGTAGCATTTTCATGAGAAGCTTTCATGTACCTGTACTTTCTGGGGGGAGCTTGGGGGAATCCAATTTAATTACCTGAAGAAATTCTTTGCTGAAGAAAGTCTTTCTTCCTCTTATGACAGTTACAAGTTAAGGGCGCAGGGATAACTAAGCCCTCCCCCAGAGAGGAGAGGAGCACGTTTGAGACACAACAAAGGATCTGAGTAGTAAATGCTGGGAGTGTTTGGGGTTTTATTCAGCCCGGGCTGACGGTGTGTGTCGCCGCCACGCACTGCTGCCTGTGCGAACGCATGGCTGAGCCGCCGCCTACCCCACACACCGTGCGCCACCCAACTCCTCTCGTAACGCCATTGCGCGTGGCATTGTGTTGGGCTCTGCGTGTGTGGCATCGGGGTCACGGAATTTAGGGGAACTGGGCTGTCCCCGCTCCCCGCGGAGTCCCCCTAAGGCGGGGGCGACGCGGCCAAGGGCAGTGCGCCCTGGAGGTGGCCGGGGGCGCTCCTTCCCCGGGCGTTCCGCGCGGGCGGCGGGCGCGGAGGCGCGGGGCGCGCGAGGGGCGGCGAGGTGCGAGCTGCCTTAACTGGGCTCCGCGGCGGCCCGCGGGAAGCCGCCGCCCCGCCCGAGCTGGGTGCGGCGGCGCTCGGCTCTGCGCCGCGCGGCTCCGCGGCTGCCTCTTTAATCAGGAACACAGAAGGGGCGGGCCCTGAGCCGGCGCGTAATCGGATAGCTCTGCCGCGGCTCTGACATCCACATGCTGCTCGGCCTGAAAAGGCAGGGGGGAGCCGCGGCGGAGGCAGAGAGCGCGAGCGAGGCACCAGCCCGCAGCCCGCCCCCCGCACATCCTCAGACGCGCAGACACTCGGCGAGGCGCTGCGCGAGGTGGAGGTGAGGGCGGGCGCCAGCGAACTCGGAGAGGGGCTCGCTCACTCCCAGGCGATCCCAGCCGCCGCCGCCGCCGCCGCCGCCGCAGCAGCAGCTTCCTTCCTCAGACTCCCCTCGAGAGGCTGGCCAAGCGGGTGTAGCCGTTGGGGGAGGCTCCCGCTAGGGGAACCCGGAGAGCACCAGAGCAGGGCGGCCGCCTCCCGCTCCGGCCGTCCGGCGGTCGGTGTCCCCGCCCGCGTGTCCGTCCCGGGTGCCGGGCGATGTGTGTCAGTTTACGCCTCTGAGATCTCACATCTGCCTGGGGGCCGTGGGATGCCTAAGGCAAGTCTTGGCTTTAATTATTATCATTATTATTACGCTTGGCTTTCGGGAAATATTCGTGATGTTGTAGGATAAAGGAAATGACACTTTGAGGAACTGGAGAGAACATAGATGCGTTTTGTTTTTGAGAGGAAACCGTCCCCTCTTCCCGGCTTGCTCTCTCTTTGCTGATTTCAGGAGCTACCCTCCTCCTGGCGAGGTGGGGATTCCAGCAAAAATAAAGGTGAAGACGGGCCGCCAGGACCCAGGAGAGAAACACTGACCATTAGAGACCTTGGCGGAAGACACTGTAAGGAAGAAAACAAGAGAGAGAGAAAAACACAAAAGACTTATAATAAATTGTACAAGAAACCTACAAACCCAGCTCCGGAGAAAGCCTCCGTCTCCAAAATGGATATGTTTCCTCTCACCTGGGTTTTCTTAGCTCTCTGCTTTTCGGGATGCGAAGTGAGAGGCCAACCAGGTAAGCCCCTGAAAGTTTTTTCTTTTCATTTCAACATGGTTTCCCCTTTAAAAGCGGCTGCTAAAGCAAGGAGGCCAAGCAGAATGGCACAGAAGGAGGCTCCCTCAATACTCAATAATTTAAAGAGAGATCCCAGCCGGCCCTCCCTACACCACCGCGCTGCTAAAACCCAACTTTCCTCTCCTGCTAGGAGCGTGTGTGAGTGTGTGTGTTTTGAAACAGACAGAATTTGGCCGTGTTCAGATGTCACATATGGACTGAATCAAAGGTTTAAAAATACTACAAAGCCTTTGCATTACAGTTTTTGGGGATTTTTTTTCCTGTCTTGAAGCAGAACACATCTCCCTTGAGTTTCTTCAACCTAGCCAGTGAAATATAAATCATTTGCATTCCCTCCACTTAGCTACATTGAGCAATATTAACTGAAGGGCTTGGGAAAGACAAGAGTTTCATTTTGGTTTTCAGATGCTGTAGATTCTTTGCAGAATGGGTGGATACGCCTCAGAATTGTAGTGCTCAAGCTGGTGGAGCAAATTGGCTTGCGGCGGAGACAGGGGCTTGGGCTGGGCGCTGCTGGCAACCAAGGCGGTTGATCGTCCCTGCCCTCTTTCCTGTATCCATGTGTTTCCTGGGAAAGTAAATCATATGTTCTTTTAAAAATTCTTATTAGATCAAACACACTGAAGGCCCTCGAAGGTCCCTCACTCCTGTGAAGTGGTTAGAAACTTTTGAGTGGAATTTGTTATCAACCACTGCCAAAAAGGCAGAGTGTGGACAGTCTGCTGCTACGGAGATAAGCACTGTGAGGCCCAGAACAGTCCGGGACCAGCATTTGTGGGGGGTGGCAAGGGGAACACTCTGAAAAGGGATCTCTGGTTTTGTGGGGAATCCAGTGGGGCTTGTCCTTCTCCCAGGACCAAACTCCAGCGTGAGCCTCTCTCGCCTCTGAGAATAGGGTCTGGAATCTGACAACAAAACTCATAGCAGCTGCTACAGGTGATTGGGGATGGGGAAACCATCTATGGAGAAATAGGGGAAAGAAAGGAGAAAAAACCTTACAGAATTGCCCTTACCCCCAGGCACTTGGAAGGCGATGGCGGCAGTTTTAGGGCTAACTCCTTGCAGGCTCCCAGGCATGTCCTAGCTCATCAGCCAGTGGGTCCTAGCTTTGCCTCTGGTGCTCTGGTTCTCACCCCTCCTTCCTCCCAACACACACACACACACACACACACACACACACACACACAGACAGACACACCACTTTAAGCTTGGGTGTTTATTTGAAGGGGAGGAAAATTCAGGAATGACTTTGCCACCCAAATCCACGTTTGTAGCTCCTCCTCTGCTATAACTGGTCTTCAGGGTAGCTGCAAAGCCTATCAAAGGGATGGGTGCAGGTCCCACTTGGGGAGATTTTCTGGGCCTCCCCCATTCCCTCTTGCCTTAATTCTAAATTCCCAGCTTGAAGCCAAATTAAATTACATCCCATAGACCTGGATGCTTCGTAAATTATGTGTGTTTGTGTGATTTGCCCTGCGTGTGTGTGTGTCCGTGTGTGTGTGTCTGCATGCGCGCGCTGTGCGGATGCCCACAGTGTATTATGTATTCAGACACGGACTCCGGTAGGCCCCGGCGCGAGCGCGCGCACACATGCAACTTCAGGTTCCGTGCGCTGTGCGAAGCAGGAGGGGTCGTGAAGACTCAGGGGCCATCCCTTACCCCAGATGTTTGCACATCTGTCCCCGAGCGCTGCGTGGAGCGTGTGTGTGCGACACCCGCTCGGACCCACTCCCGCTCTGCCACCTGCCTCCTGCGCTCTCCGCAGAGCCCCCTCCCATCCCAACCCCTGGCCGCGCTGCGTCACTTCCAGAGAAGCCCAGAGGCGCCGAGTGCGGGGCAGGTCACCCACTAAGAGGCCGCGGGCAGCCTCGGACCCGGGGTGGGACCCGAAACTGAGACCTCCCCGGGGTGGATATTCTGCAGTCCCCCGAAAATGCAATCGCAAACCGTGGGCTGCTCAGGCTTTCAGGCGGAGCAACCGACTGGCACCCAGGGTGCTAGCAGCGGGTGGCAAAGGGCGAGGCCAAGCTAGACCTCTGACTCACTCGATGTGCTCTGGCCGGGAGGGGGGCCGGCCCAGTGGCCGCCGGTGGCGGCGAGAACGGATTCCGGGACCGAGTCAGGGGAAAGAGGGGGCGGAAGGTGCGCGCGGGGGAGCAATTGGGCAAATAACACGGCGGTCGCGCGCGCGGGTGGCTGAGAGGCCGGGTGGGCACCGCGCACCAGGCTCCCCCACACCTCGCCACGTCGCGTCTCCAGATCCCAGTGCAGCCGCCTGCCTCCCCACCGCCCGGGCTTGGGAAGTCGGGACCGCTTGACTAGCCTGGCCTGTGGCGCCCCTTCCAGCCCCGCGCGCTCCGCTCTGCGCCGCATGCTCGCGGCGGTCCCTGGAGAGTCGGCTTTGAGTGACTGGGGCCCAAGGCCTGGGGATCCAGGCGCTGGCGCACTGGGTGGTGGGAAGCTGGAGTGGGATTTCGGCTAGGCGGGCGGAGAGAGGAGGGAGGGAGCCCGCCTGAGCCGCAGGAATGCGCGCAACTTGCACAGCCTCTAGAAGCGCAGTGCGCCGGGCTCCCGCGGGTGCGGCGGAACAGGTGAAGAGCACGCGGCGCGCGGGCATCCACGTGGTGAGGACGTGGTAGCCCCTCAGCTCTTCCCCTGCACTCCCCCCAGCGGCGTCTCTAACGCCGCATTGATTTGTTTGGGCTACGCAGCAGAAACAGAGCCGAGCGATCCATAAACATTCTATTAAGCAAAAATATCCCCAGCGAAAGCAAAACCGGGACTGAGCCTCTGTGAAGTTGGCCGCCTCCAGCTACTCCAGTCTTGTCCCCTCCTCCCCCTGACTAAGGACACCCCCAGAGGGAGGCCTGCGGCATTTTCTCGACGCTGCCCAATGCGGGACAGTTAGCTCCCGGCTGCGGCTTTCTCCTAGGGAGAAGCCTCTGCAGTCACTGGCGAGGTCCCGCCTTCCCTCCCCAGCCGCCTGGCTCTTTGCTTTTGCACGTGAGAAAAAGAAATATTCACGGCCAATGCTTCATTTTCACTGATTGGTTTCTTTTTAATACCAACACAAGTTAATGGAGGCGAGGCGCAGCGCGATTAAGCCTCTGGCTGACTGCGCCGCTGGTCTTTCCCGCCAGGTCGCGGCATCCGGCAGCTGGGTGGGGGCCGCGGGTACGGCTTATGGGTTTTTTTTTGCGAGGGGGAGGACTGATCGCCCCTCTGGGAATAGTCGGGGGTGGGGGTGGGGATGCGGCGGCAATCAGCTTTCCAGACCAAGTTTAGGGGATCCTGCCCATCCGTATTGCAGCTTATGCGGCGCTGGTTGCATTTCTTCTGGAAGGGTAGGGGATCGGTGCTCTGCCTTACTGGCGTGTGCTCCCTGCTCCGCTCCCTCCCTCTGCCTCCCTTCCTTTCAGTTTCAGACAGAGAGCAGAGCCCCCTGGCGCTAGCCATTCCCTGTCAGCGCCCGGCTGCGAAAGTCTCCTTTGCTGGAGTTAATCACAATCTGCGGGGGACTGAGTTTTGCCCAGGAAATCATTCCGGTCCTGACAATGAGTTTCTTCAAGTGGTGGCAGCTCCCAGCCCTAATGTCCCCACCTCCGGGACGCACCGCTTGGGGCCAAATGAACCCAGACCCCATAACCATCTCCCCCTCCCCCCCTCGCTAGGAGAGCTTTGATCTGTGCTTGGGTTTTAACACCATTGCCATGGACACGGGCAGATTCGGTCAACTCAACCTTCTGTCTGGACTGGATGATCAGATAAGAGGTGTAAATTGGTTTGGGAGACAGGTCTGGGTTCAAACAAATCCTGAAAGAGAAGCAATGACGGTCTAGGCGCCGAGTTTGAAGGGTTTGAAGCGTTTCTTTTAGCCTGTCTCCCCAAGATGCAGGATGGCCATGGGTGAGCATAATAGTTTGCAAGTAAAACCGTAAACTCCTGGGCTTTACACAGACAGCCTGCTCTAGGCTCTGGGGACTGGTTTCATGCCCACATTAAATGAGTGCCCAGTCAACTTTTCCCCAGTAAGCACTCCCTGGAGGTAGCGAGACTGTTGCCAATAGAGCACACAGTGCAAAACAGTGGAAAGGGGAGCGCTCCCCACAGGGCTCCCCGGCAGGCCCCTGCTTGTCCAAGATGTGCCTGTAGAACTGTGAATGCCTGGGCAGCTCATCAGGTCTGGAGCTTTATCTCATCCCGTGGAGCCCTCAGACATTAAGCCACAGAGCACTCAACTGGCCAGAGGAAAAACTGGACGGCTGCAGTGACTGGAACCCAGGCTACCCAGACAGGACTCCCGCTGTCTACCAAATGGCTCTGGTCCCATTGAAGGTGTAGTCCATATTGTGCAAGGGAAAGGCCAGTTCCTGTCTTCATGGCATAGAAAAGCTGGGAGTCCAAATGCCAATTCATATGCAGTGAGGCATGAACACAGATAGCAGCTCGGGTGGGCTATGTGGGGGAGACACCATGGACTGGGTGATTCTGAGGCCCCAGGTGTTTTTCATCTCACTCAACTGTTCAGTAAAGCAATCAAGAAAATGAACTGACTTGGGGTGACCCAAGTGTGAGACAATTCTGAATTGACAGAATTCAGAGCTCTTCACTGGTAAAGAGTTTTCAGAATGTATTCCCCAGAAGTCCTGTTTGGAAAGACTTTAGGAACTAGAGATGAGATTTTCCTTTTTTAAAAAGAGCAAAAAAGCAAAATACCTTTTTAATTTCTTGAATGGATGAGAAAGGACTTGAAAAGTGACGGCTGGGCAATAGTTGGTAGTATCATTAACATATTTGAGATATTTGATCATCTGGCCATCATTTGCCACTGGATAATGTTTGAGGCACCCTCCTTGAGTGGCAGCTGAGTGTTTTGATCCCCAGAAATTAGCCATTGTATTCCTTCCAGGTAAGGACTTAGCTATTTGCTTTTTTTTTTT